CGTGCGTCGCTTTAACGCGTTTTAACGCGTTTTTAGCTAAAGCAACGGGCGCCCCTCCGGTGGCAGGAGACGGGTGAGGCGGTAGGAGAGAGGAGCCTGCCGAGCCGTGAAGCCGTGGTGTGCTCGAGGCACTGACGCGTCCAGCGGGCCGGGAGTGAGGCTGTGTGCCTCCGCGGCCCTCTGGAGGAGCGCCTCAGCTTCTCTAGTAACTACGGGTGTCTTGTCCTGTTGCAGAGTCTGTTGTCATGGACGGAGACAAGGAGCACGACAAAGGTACTGCGAGGTGGTGTTTAAAACAAACAAACAAACACAGAATATTACGCTTCAGAATAATTTACTGTGCTTTTTTCTTTCCCTTCCCTCAAGTTGAAGATGTTGTGGGCAGCCACGTTGAAGATGCTGTAACATTTTGGGCACAGGTGAGTTCAAATAACTGTTTGATTTTAACTGAGGTGTTTCATGTTACCCCCTCCCTTCCCCTGAAAGTTTCTATAGAAGTGAGAATGATAGCATTTCATGGTGAAAAAACTAAATTTTGGTTTCAGAATTGCAAGTAGTATTGTTCCTTTTTAAACCGAAATCAGTTTTCTTCTGTGAAACGTCAAAAAGAATTGTCCGTCCATCCATTTGAATGGTTTTAATGAATGTTTGTTAGGCACAAAAATATAAATGTAGGGTTAAACTATTTGCTGTTGTCATAAGGATGCTGTAGGAGGCAGCTGGAGCCCTGCTGGGGGTGGAACCCCTATTCCAGCTGAGCATCTGGGGCAGTTTCAGTGAAGCCTGACGAGGAGGTGGCTTGGAGGTGCTAGGTCCTTTAAAGTTTGGTGTAGATGGATGGGAGGATGTTGATGAGAGGAATGAGGAAAAGTAAAAAACCCAAAACAAAGAGTAATTTTTATTAATACGGGGGTGCAGCAGGGAGAGGGGAAAATCCAGAGTGTGTACCAAAGCTTGCCTTTCCTCTTCGGGCTGCTGGCTAATTGGGGTGTAGTGTAAGTCAACACCTCTGTGCCTTTGAGCAGCTGGAGGAGGTAATGCTGCTTGTTAAGTCCCTAATAGAAACCTGGGGAGGGGAGGCCAAACTTTACTGATTCTGTTAATGGAATAGCTTCTTCTAATAAAGGGATTTTTAGATGTAGTAGTCACAGATAATTCTCCTTTAGGTTCTTCCCTGGGCATTCTGAGTCTCAGTCATAGGGCTTTTTTTAATTTTGTGAAGTACCAAAGTTAGGAGTGTACTTCTAATGTTAAAAAATACTGAGTTGCACTGGTGTTTTCTTTCCTGCTCTGAGCTCTGCATCCTTTCCTTTGAATTATGTGGAGAATGTTGTCTAATAAATGCTGTGTTACTGGAAATGACCCAGTGTTAAAGCGCTCCAGGTTCTAAGTTGTAACTGGAAAGAGACTGCTTGCTCTCAGGCAAACCAAAACCCGAGTCAGGCATGTAAGGAGTACAAGGGGTGTGCCAGAGCTGTTGTCTCCTTGTATTAAGGAGAGAAGGAAAAAGAACAGCAAATACATACTAAAATCTGTGAGTAAGGATCGATAAGTAAGATCTGTATACTGCTTGCAGCAGCTGGTAATTAAACTGTTAAAAACTCATTGCAAACTATTTCTGAGGTACGTTACCTGCCCTGATCTGTTCCATTAATTTTTGGAAGAAAATGAGAGCAGGCTTACAAACACAATTTTAAATCATGAAGATGGAAAGCTTAAGGCGGGGCATTACTTGTCTCAACAGCAGTGCAACTGTTTTGATTTAATGTTGGGCTGTTACGAGCGATGAAGTGTCTATTAAAAGTGACAGTTAATAACTCGTAACACTCTCTCTCACACTTCTTAGAATGTCAGTAGATGTAATGACCTCTTGAAATTAAGTTGTGAGCTGGCAGAAGCTTGTCCCCAGGCTAATGCAGTTTTTGGCAAACCTGATTTTAATAAGGTAAGTAGGCTGTGTATGTGTGGAGTTTGTTTATCACCTGGATCTAAAAGCCTTAATTCTATGCCAGCACTTTCTTAGGTATTTTCTTGATCTTTGGTTGTGCTGTGGGTTATATTCTCTTAAGATTTCTTTAAGAGCTGCTGGCTTTCCTAATGAAGGAAAATGCTTATTTGTCTGAAAAAGTTTAAATCTTTCTGTATTTCAGTTAAATTATGTGACCATAGCTTTGGTTTTGGTGTTTTTTTGTTTGTTTGGTTTTTTTTGTTTTTTTTTTTTTTTCTTCATTAAACACTCGGGAAGCACTACAAGAAGGTAGTATACAGAATGCTGAATTCTCTTTTGTTGTCTAGTATATGGGTTATCTTTAATAAGAGATCAGTGCTTTGTCAGAGAAGCAATTCTTCGCTCCATATCAAGCACTGCAGAAGATCTTATAGTAACCTGTAAAGTTAAAACATGCTGGACAAAGTACTACTAAGATAACGAGGACATCTAATAACAGTTCTATGACAAGTGTACAAAGAGTGATGGCAACTTTTGTTTTTCTGTGTGAAGTACTGGTGGCTTATTGCAAAGTAAGGTTTAAATAAAGTAATTTGTCTGGTGTGTGCAGGTGAATGACCTGCATTCCTCTTGGAAAGGAAGAAAGCACACCAGCAGCAAACCCAGCCTGTTTGTGGTGTGACTGGCCTGTTCCTTTGTCAGGCTTACTAAGCTGTCAGTGTCCGTAAAATGTAGCCACGCATTAATGGAAAAGCCCCAGGAGTCTGCTGAGTAAAATGTTGGTGTTTTTCTAGGTGCAAAATTTTCTTTGAGCTATTGTTTTTGGAGTAGAGAAAGCTCAGGGGAGACCTTAGAGCAGTCTTCTAATGCCTAAAGGGGACCTACAGGAGAGCTGGAGAGGGACTTTTTACAAGGGCATGACAGGGCAGGGGGAATGGCTTTAAACTGACAGAGGGGAGGTTTACATTAGATATTAGGAAAATATTCTTGCCTGTGAGGGTGCTGATGCCCTGGCACAGGGTGCCCAGAGAAGCTGTGGCTGCCTCATCCCTGGCAGTGTTGAAGGCCAGGTTGGACAGGGCTTGGAGCAGCCTGTTTTAGTGGTAGGGGGCCCCCGCCGTGGCACGGGGGTGGAACTGAATGAGCTTTAAGGGGTTGGAACTGAATGAGCTTTAAGGTCCCTTCCAACCCAAACCATTCTGTGATTCTACAATTGTTATGTGAGATAGGATATCAAATGCATTACTTTGTTTTCATACTGCTGTTGGGGTAATTATAGGAGAGTGTGAAAATAAGATTTGTAATGTATTACAAATACCATTATGAGGCATGGTTATATTTTCAGAATGCTATTCATGATCTTTTTTCCCTAATTTCCAGATTTATGGTGGCTGTTTTTCTGAAGATAGATGTTGGTACAGGTGTATGGTACAGCAAGTGATCAACGAGGAAAAGGCAGGAACTGTTTGTTTTTTCTTTGGTTTTTTTTGTGACTTCAGTTGTGTATCAGTTCTACATGCAGGATGATAGGAATAAACGCAGCGCCTTCTCTATTTGAAACTATGTGAATGCCTATAGTGAATATACATGTGGGACACAAATTCATCTGACCTGTAGTTTTGATAAATGCTAGTTAAAAAGACTGGCAAAACATGATATGGCTTGCAAAGGGCTGTTTGTATCTCTTGATAAAGAGGTTCACGAGTGGTAGTTAATGCTGTTAAGCAATCAAATTTAATTTCAAAACTTCTGAGTGGTGAGAATGGCAGCCTTCTCGTGACATGTTAGCACTGATGCAAATGCTGCTGATCAGTGTTAGGTGACTGATACAGAAGGCTAGTAGTTCCTATTTAAAATTGTAATATCTGGACGGGCTTTTTGGCTTGGAAACATTAGATTAGGTACCTGTCCATTGAAGAAAGTCCTCTATAATGCTTCTTAATTGTAGCCCTTAGAGAGAAAAAAAAATGCCATCAGAGATCTGTCTTATTACTTAAAGTTTTGTTGCTAAGCTTTTAGACAGGTGCCAGCATTAGAGATTTGTCTGACTTGGTTCCCTCCTCTGAAGGCTTAGCATGGAAGATTCTGATCTCCGCAACATGTGCATGAGTTAAAATGCTTACACTCCAGTAGTTGTTAGTGCACATTTCTGGAGGAGGTTTGCGTAACCTCTGCTGCTCTATATTTTGTTACTGTTGCAGTGTCAGGTATTGTACATAGACTATGGAAATTCTGAGGTTCTGAATAGATCAGACATAGTGGAAATTCCACTGGACTTGCAGTGTCCGAGCATTGCCAAGAAGTACAGACTCCAGGGACTGCAGATACCAGCTGATCAGAATGTAAGCATGTTTGACGAGGTGAGTAACAGATTTTGAAGCATTTAGATGATGAATCTGTAACAGATGCTGCCAAATATCAGCACAGTGTCACCAGAGGAGTCTTCTAAAAGCTGGATGTTTAATTGTGAAGGCGGGGCATGCTGGGAAGGACTGTCTGACCTGTTGCCCAGGCCATACTCTAGAAACTAAAATGGTTTCATCAAAAAATGTTTCAAGTTGTGCTGGGGGGTGACTTTTCAGAGTACGCTTTTGCCATCTGCAGAGCCCGAGGTCTGTTTCTGATTGACCCGAGTTCTGTCTGGTACCAAGGAAACAAAGTACCTCCGTTCTTTTCCCTTCAGAGACAAAAATACTTTCATTGGTCACGGAACCTGTGCTGAATTCATTTGCATCTGTGAGCTGCTTCAGTGAATTTCTAAATGAGTAGTTTCAGTAAGGTAGATTTCTGTAAGACAGATACACATAATAATTAATTTGTTGCTATATTCCATTTCGCTTTCTGGACTATTTATTGAAAGGCTGTTAAAACAATGTAATGATTCAATTATTTTCATATTACTTTGTGTAACACCGTTCCATAGTTGGTCTGGTATCCTCTAAAAGAATTGGATAACCTGATTGCCGACTTCTGCTGAGGGCTGATGGGACTTTGGACTTGTGTCACTTACAAATGACACTGAATTCTTCAAAGCTGTTGGTGCTGAAGTTTTGAAGTTTTGTCTGTAATTGACAGTGACTAGATGAGGTACAGTTGTGGAGATAAAGCACTGTTTCAGAGTAAATGTACTAAACATAAGCTTTGCCTGTGCAGCTTGTTGGGTTTTGGACTTAAGCTCATCTTCTTTTTCTAAGAAGACTGGCTCGTTTCAGCTGGCAGTATGCTGAGTGTCCAGTACACAACTTCACTGTATTGTATTTTACAGGGGAAGAAGTTCCTGAGCAGCCTAGTTTTTGAAAAAGAAATAAAAATACGTCACAAGGCCAAGCTCGAACATGGTGCCATCATTGCCCAGGCAGAATATGAAAAGATAGATATTGGAGAAGAGGTGGCCAAGGCAGGGTTTGCTGAAAGATGCACATCTCCAGGATACACTAAAGAGGCAGAAGAGAAAAAAGCAGATGTCATGCAAATACAAAATCGGAAGATAAAGATTTCCATTCCGCTGTGGTTGAGCAGGTCTGATCACACGATGCACAGCTCCCCAAGAGGGCGCGTTGAGCAAGGACCTGCCGGCGCCAGGAATTGGAATTTTCCTGGAAACCGGATGTTTGCCCCAAAGTAAGACAGTGAGATGTCATAGAAAGCTTTGTATGAGTGACCTGATCGGCTTAGTTGCTGGGATGTGGGTATATGGAGGAAGAAGTGAGTATCTAAAATACAAAGTTCAGTATCTCTTTCCAGCATCAGGTAATTCAGGTACTCAGTGGAAGGGAATATGTGAGTGTGTGTGCGCACAGGCATGCTGTGGTGGTGGGAATTTAATCTGTAGGAAACTGTTCATTAGTGTTGTTGCTGGTTGGATAGCTTGTTCTTCCTCGTTTATTTTCCAGAGACAGACTAATGCAAGATTTCGTAAAAGAAGGAAGGGGTGGCATCGAGTAAGCAGAGATGACACTGGAAAACTTAGTTGGAAGTGAAGGTTGCAGGACATGAGACCTGTAACAGATTTTGCAGTGACAGGCAATGGAGTGATGTTTGTTTTAGCATCTGAGGAATTTCCATACGCTTGTCCTAGAGGCTGTTTGTAGCTTCCCCCTATTTATTTACCTCTATTAAAAAATTGGTGGATACAAATGTGGAATGCAAAACTACACTTACCAAGCAGGCAGGCATGTTTTGGTGATTTATTTGTGTAGGAATGTAACAGTGTGTGCTTACAAGAAATAAAGCCAGTATCACAGTTTGAAGTCAGCTTTAGCGGATAACGGTTTCTCTGCACCTTGTAATTACATTGACAAGAGGTGGTGGTAAGTTGGCAGTTACAGTTGTTGTCAGAAATCTTTTTAAAGAGACTTGTCCTACAGTTGCTGGCATTGCCATGGCAACAGGCTGCTGAGAGAAACGTTTGTGGGTGGCAAAGATGGTACTTGGCGTTCAGAAAGTTGAGAGGGTGTAAGAAGTAATGTTCTCCAAAAAAACTTGTTGAGAATTCGCTAATGTTCCCTAATTTGAGCTTCTTGAACATTTTAATGAACCACCTGAGGGCATGTCCTTACACTTCCCAGCATGGTATCCAAATCTGGTGTAGAATTAGATCATTCTCAGTGATATGGTTCAGTGGTGGTCTTGGCAGTCCTGGTGTAATGATTGGACTTGGTCATCTTAAAGGTCTTTTCCAACCTAGTTCATTCTATGATTTAGGCAAGTCTATATGTTAACAAATACTAATATGAAGTGAGGTGCCCCTCAAAAGAGTCTGAATTTATGGTAAAGTGCCTCAGCCTGAGTTATTTGATGCTGTGCTCTGCCCTGTTTTCTGAGATACAGATAGGCTCTGAATCTTAATTTTTTAAAAGAAATAGCTTTTTCCTTCTTTCTTTTTTTGTGGCTCATAGTGTTGAGATAGTTCTGTGCACAAAGCTGTCCTGACCAGCCCAAGCGGCTGGATTCTCTATTCCATTTCTGTGTGTTCTGGTGTCCTTTAACTTTCTGCACATTGCGGGCATTTTTGGGGTGGTATGACATGAGGGAAATGGAGAAAGAAAGAAGCTAGAATGCCACCAGAGCTATGCTGATGACAGTGAAGTTTGGGGTCTAGTGGATCTTTGGTACTGTACAGTACTGTCACAGTGCTTGGACACAGGTGGCTTCACATCACTTCTCTGTTCTACTTTTAGGGTGTAGATCCAAACCACCAATGTTAAAGTGCTTTGGCTTATTTAGTACATAGAAGACTTGAATTACAATGGACCTTGACTTTTCTGGGTCTGCAGTGTGGTATCATAAGATGGTTTTTCTTTGGATAGGAGAGACTTGAGTTAGTGACTGTGGAAAGTTACATAAAGAGTTGTCTTCAGATTATGTATATTTTTGCTCAGTGTTGTGTAACAATCTTTGTAAAAAATGGTGTGGAGAGGGATACAAATTCTGAAGAAGTAAAGCATGATTATACAGGTGCTTCTATAGACTTTTTGATGTGTTTCTGTGGTTGTTACTGAAATTCCAACAGCAAGAATGAATGCACATTGTGGGGTTTTCGAATTGTATTTTTTTTTTAATTACTTAATTCCTCTTAATTAATTTTTAAAAGGGAAAAGGTGCAAGGTTTCACCTCAGTGCCAGACACCAACTTGGCACATGTAAGACCAGATCAGAAGCTGCCCGAAGAGAAAGAAGTTCTGAGAAGGGAGAACCTAGAGCTCTTGCAGAGGCAGAAGGAACTAGAGCTGAAGGTTCAACAGCTGAAATGTGAGCTTCAGGTATGTGGAAGTGTGAAGAGGATGCTTCTCCCCTTGTTGCAAGTGTTCTTGACAATACTTCTGTCTGATAGTTTCATTGTGCTGCAGTTCAGCTGGGCACTCTTGTTTGGCATACAAGAGGATTAAACTGGTTGAGTGAAGACTTGCCCTGGTGCAGGGAGGAGAGGCTGTCAGTGTGTGTTCGCATGTGCTTTGCAGTCCAGGCTGGACACTCGCTCCCCTTCATGTATGTACTGGTTTGCTACTGTGCTTGGCATTCAGTTTGAACATGGAGTTTTCATGTTTGTATATAAGGATGTAATCCTTGCCACCTTTTCACTTGGAGGGAAAAACAGCTTTCTGTTTGTTGGGCTGAAAATTCCTAAGCATCACAGAATCACAGCAGCTGTGGAATCCTAGACCTGGAAGTATTTCCTTAATTGCTCTGTGATAGAGAAGATGTTTATATTTCTTTTCAGGAGAGAATTTCCTAGCGCTATCTGAGAAGCACAGTTCTTAGTAATAGTTACTGATAGGCATAAAAATGTTATGAATGGTTTTAAATGTGATAAACAGCAGTAGTAAGAAGAGACTGTGTGAAAGGGTGTTATGTTTTGCATGAATTCAGAAAAAATGTTGTGCAAACTCTGATCCTTACAGAGACAAAAGGAAAATCTGCCATTGTGTAAATCCCTTTGACACCCCCAAACCTGAACTTGCACGCAGCTGCTTCCTTTTTCTTTCTTGTGGAATAGAACAACTGATAACCAGCTTTGCTACTTGGTTACCTTGACCTAGGACAACTCTGTTTCTACACATACTAACCTGCCATTGCACAGATTTGCCATCCACTGAAGACAGGATATTTGTGCACTTTTGTGCAAAATAAGTTAACAAGCAACAGAATGCACGTCTGATTTTCAAAACGAAATCTAAGTGGAAATAGTTGAATGCAAGGAATTCTTAGAAGCATTTTTTTATGTGTAGTATGATGATTTTTTAAAGGAACAGTCTTCTGCAAATTTTAATTACTGTTTTGTGTTGACTGTAAGTAAACAGCTTTAAAATAAAAGGTTGTGGTTATTCTTTTAAGTAAGAAAATACTTGCTCCCTGCTAAAATTACTGTGGTAGGCAATGATGTGTTTTAGAAGGGTGATACAGGGTGGTGGCTTTGAGGTGTACATAAAAAAAACCAAACAAACCACCCTGCAGTCATGAGACTTTGGATGCTTACCTGCAAATACAAAATTATTTAAATCCTTCTGTTTTTTTTTTTGTTGGTGGCATTTTTTTTAATACGTAGTGAGTCTGAAATGTTAACAACATTAGAAGACTGTTTCATTACTTTAATGGGACTTCATAAAAGCACCTTCATGGTATGAGAGCAAAAGCTTTTAAATTTAGGTTGCCCCTTTGTTCCTTGAGGAATATAGCCTGATGTGGTGTGTGGGCTCTCAAGAGCATTCCTTGTAGGAAGGTCAGGATGGTTGTACATAGAGCGTTGTAGAACAGCAATACTTGTTCTGCTGCACCACTTTGAGGCGTGGTAGTGATGGGAGTAAGGAGTTTAGTGAGGTCCTGGACTTGATTTCCCCCAACTAATGGATAGGAATATTTCTGCAAGGGAATATTTCAGCATGTTACCTGAAGACTTGCTAGCAAATGGGGGGTAATTGAAGAAACACACTTGAACACGTTGCTACTGAGATGAGAGAAAGGAAGTGAACCATTAACCTTTAAGAAGCTATTAAAAGAAAATTATTCTCATTGGTTTTCATGTCTTTCTAGGCATTTTGTTAGTGTTTTGAAGAGGGCCAGTTCTGTGAGTGTGCATGCTTGCATTTATGTGTTTATCTCTAGTTTTCAAAAGTCTAAATTGTGGTCTGCATGTTAGTACCTCTGCCTGACTGTTTTGACTGTTGGTCTGTCTTTACCTCTCTTTGTTGAAACACTGCTCCAAAAATGATAAATAATTCAGAAAGAAAAGGAACTATCCAGGAAAACTGCTGAAAGTTTTGAGAAGACCCTGCATACTTATATAGGAACAAAAATGGGAAGTTTGGCTGCTAAGATGAAAGCATTGAAAGAAGTTAGGTATGTTGTTCTGTTTCTGGTTTGTTTTGTTTTGTGGTTTTTTTTTTTTTTTAATTTATTCCCCTTCCCTCCCCCAAAATAGTGCTATTTCTCATTGCCCTGCTAATCTCTTGAAATCATGCATTTCATTTGTTAATTTTCTAAGAAAAATGTAGTGTTATCTACAGAGGGGTGTATTTCCCAAAAGCAAGGCTGAAACCTGAGGTTTTTGGAAGCTCACATTGGAATTTGTGTTGCCTGCTTGTCCATGTTTATCAGATGACTTTGGTTTGCTTCTGCTCCATTACTGCAGCTATTGCAAGAAAAGCTCTCAGTTCCCTCTTCAAGGAAGATGCTAATTGGTAAATGCAGCTAGGCGTTAAAAGTAGCTGTTTAGTCGGAGTTCCTTGACTGTCTGTATTGCTGTGAGAGGTGTATGTCGCTGAGTAGCACAGCTTGTCTTTCTAGATTTAAAAGAAGAGACAAAACTGCAGTGAGACAAAGACTTGAAATAGAAATGACCATCAGCTTCTCTAAGAAGGAATGTAATATCTTGGTGTATGTGTTTGTGGAAGATGAATAGGAAAAAAGGGAAATTAAGAGCAGGAGGAAATTTCCATGCAAAGCCTTGTTAGTGTTGAAATATAAAGAATGTATTCTTGGTCCTTTCTCCTTCCTGGGGAAAAAAAAAAAAAAAAAAGAAAAGATTTAACAGCTAAATGAGACAAATTGCTGCTGCTACCTTTTGAAAGAAACTGAGTTACTAACATGGCAAAATGTTGTTTCTTCCTTAACAACTTAGGCATGCAAATAAGACCAGTCATTTTGGGGAGCAGCTCTCTGAAGCCATAAAAGTGGTTACAGAAGGATGTCTCACTGTTCCATGTTCCTTGGAAGAGCTGAAGAAGATTTGGAGAGAGTATGACTTGGCTCAAGAGAGGATTCGGTTATGCACAAATGTGGTAGGTTGGAATTATTTTTTTTCTCAAGCTAAAATTTAACATCTACTGACAAGGTATTTTAGTCTTGTAAGTGTAGCTAGATAGCTGTGCAGCTGCAGCATCTGTCTTCAAAACCTTTTGTTAAAGCAGTATGCCACTCCTTAGTATAGGCTTCCCTAGCTTGGGGAGGGATAGAGAGCACGGTATGCAAATGCGGTTGTGTAGAAAGATGGACTTGTACAGGGGGAAACTGCCATCTAGTGTAACTTCTCTGTAAGCACAGATCTGAAAAAGCCTGTCTGGGTGTGCAGGCATGGCTGTTTTAGGATGGTTGTGTACCGTGTCTCTCATGTGCGGTGATGCTGCTTTAGGCCCAGGAAGGTTCCCTGGTCTGTGGCCGGCGTTGTGATAAGGCAGGGAAGGCATGATAGTTGTGCGTCTGGGAGAATTAAAGCAGTGTGTTGTGACTATTTTCAGGTATAACCTAAAACATTTTAAACGTGTTTGCTGAAGTCGTATTGCTGTATTACACTTTATTCATTTTGTCAAGTCACTTAGATACCTTGTCTGATATGAATGTGGATAATCCAAGTTCTAATTTGTGTAATACAATCAAAAACTACAGGACAACTAGGCCATTTTAAGTTTACAGTGGCCGCTAGGACTTCTACTGTGATCAGCAGTCATGCAGAAACTGTTTCTTTAGTTGTCTGATAATGTCATATCTTTACACTGTAAAGGATGCTGTGTTTATGCAAAGTGGTCATGTCATAGAATCATAGAATAGTTAGGGTTGGAAAGGACCTTAAGATCATCTAGTTCCAACTCCCTGCCATGGGAGGTTAAAAACAAACTTTGCTTTTTCACCCATCCCTAGTCAGGCATGTATTGTGCTGCTCAGACTTTGCAAGGAATGATGTTTTTTTGTATCACTTTCCACGCTGTGTATGTGGTGTTTGGGTGCGAGTTGTGGACTTGCTTTTCCTTCTGCATAGGATGAAGGGGATGTATTGATTAGCAAGAGAGATGAGGTGCAGCAGAACTTGTATTCAGCAGTGAAAGAATTAATTTTGGAAGTGGATCAGCTGCCCCTCTCTGAGCGCTCAAGAACGTTACAGGTAAGGAAGCTGCCCTTATAAGTATTGATTCTGAAAGGCTGAGAACCTGTGGAGGGTGTTTCTTAAATGTTTTACAGTTGGAGACTTTGACAGGAGCAGGCGAAGCTTTAGATGACACTTCCAAGTTAAGTTGTACGTCTGACACCTACAATTAAAAAGTCAATGCAGTTATGCTGTGAATTATGGCAGTGGGTTTTGTGGTTTGATTATATGCTTTCCTAGCCCTGTCTGTTAAGGTGGCTGTGTAATTTGGACTAGTGTAGCAAAGTGTGAAAAGTTTAAAGCCTTTTTTCAACGTGAGAGTTAAACTCTACAGAAGCACATCTTTATACCAGGAAGCTCTGTCGCTCTCGGCCAACCCAACAACAGAAGGTAGGGAAGTAGATGGGGAAATAAATATACTCGCTAGAGGCAGTAAGAACTTTTGAAGAGGACTTTACCAATTGAAATATTACTAAGGTGGTGTTACTGGCCTTTGCTACTAGAAATAATTTCTTCTCTTTAACTTCAGAAATATGTCTTGCTTTTATTTTGACTGTGCAGGTTTGTGTGGAGAGGGGAAAAAGGTTGGCAATAGTTTGACAGCTTTTCTGTGTCAATTCCAGCAATGTATTTGTCCGCATGTGCATGAGATTGAGTTCTTAGGAAAAATCACTGAGGTTACAGGCTGTGCATAAGTTTGTGTAAGGTTGGAGCAGCAGTAATAAATGGAAGCATTCAAATTTTCATGGAATTACTTAATTTCTAATGGAATTAATTTTTCAATGTAATTCAAAAAAAGTTTTGCTCCTTATTTTTTGGTCCTAGTCTGATATGCGGATAGGAAAAGAAACTGGGTGGGTAAGGATTTCGTGGAAATCCGTGGTGTAGTGTTGTGTTTTTCTCTGTTGTGGTGTTTTTGGTTTTTTGGTGTGTTTAAAGGTTATGCTGTGCCAATCCACTAGGTGGTAGGCATTAAGCATCTTCGAGATAATTGTACTGCAGTGAAATTGTAACAGTGCTTTGAAAATACTTGAAGGGGTACTGAGATGCTTCTAGGTATGTCAAATGAATTTTGGGCTTTAGCTTAACAGTGCTGATGATCCTCCCTTCTATTGGGAAAATTGTTTTGATCTAGCTTCTAAGTAGGGAAATGGAAATAAGCATTTACCAAATATCACCAAGAACGCTGGTTGCAGTTTTATAGAGCTGAAGAGGTCATGCTGTGCTGTCTTAGAGAAATTAGTGTTTTTCCAGTGTCTCTCAGAAGAATGGGAGCTTGGGGGATCTGCCCCCACCACTGAGGCTGTGTATTGCAAACCTCTCTTCTGTATTACACATCTCTTCTGACTTGTTTTGTGCCTTCTGGTGACAATTGTTGCTGGCCTAAAATGCAGACAAATTCAAACAGCTTCATCCACAGCTGGGTGCAACTGTCTAGGACTGAAATAAGCAGTTCGTGAGCTCCGTGCTTCCCAAGTGATAATGCACTGGTTAAGAGGAAAGCAGAGAGTGTGGGCATACATGTAAGTTACTCTAAAGCAAACTAGGGTGTGAGCTTGCCCGTTGTCAGCTGTTCTGTGTAAGCATGTTTCCTCTGCCCCGTTGGTAGCATGTAGTAGCTTGTTCCATTCTCTCTGAATTACTACTGTTAGAAGCTGAGACAAATTCATGTAGGCCACTGAGCCATCTTTGCATGATAACCTGTGAAGTTACTAATGTTTTTGGGAAGTGTGTTATAATATGAAAAAAAGGGGAAGAAATAGGACATAACTTACAGAATTTGTTGAGGGCAGCCTTATGGAATGTGTGGAGATACTACACTGGTGGGACTGGTGCTGCTATTTTTGTAAACGGGGCGTGATACTGGATATGAAACTTACTGAGCACCTTTCTCAGCTGTTATCCCCGTTTGGCTGCTGTTAAATAGGATGATTTTTTTCTTTCTCCCTCCTTTAAGCTCTTCCATTTGAACCTGGCTTCTACTTTGCCGTGCCATTTTGTAGCCATGTGTATCCTTATGTATTAAATTCCAGCTGTTCAAAAACAGAATGTGAGGAAAATCTGTTGTGCGCTCGAATGACTTAACCTCCATAAATTTAGCACTAAACCTCCTTCTTCTATTTGTTTATAGACAAGTGTATTTGTTCAAAGCTCATGTCACTTGGCTCAGTTGGAAATTGCTGTTTTAAACAGTCTGTTGTACTGAATGAATGCTGTTCATTGTAGTATCTATTGTTATGAAAGTGGTTTTATAATTCTTATAAAATACTGTTTGCTGGTTATTTAGTTATATGTGCATTTGATGCATGTACTTAGTTATTATGTGAAGGAAAATCTTGGGCTTTTGTCCCCAGTCTGAACTTTTGCTGCAAATGTCTGTGTGTAGAGATGAGGCCTGGTTGTGGCATCATCATGCCAAGCTCCCTTCCTCACCTCCACAGTACCTTTAGTTCTCAGCAAAGGGAGGCCATTGCTGCCACATTCTGGCCTGTAGTGATAGTGTCAGTCTGTTTAAGTTATATTTGGTTGCTTGTGTGACTGCTGGATTTCAAATGTCTAAAAGGTTCCTTCCTGACAAGTGACTCTTAAGTTCTGTCATACTGCTTTTTCCATGGTATTGGCCATTGAGTCTCAAGAGATGAAAAGATGAAAACTGCTTTCAAGAGTTGGGGAGCTGTTTTGGTGGTTTTCTTCATCAACATGACTGAAGTGTTGTTTGGAAAGGTCTGTGATACTTAACTCAGATCTTCTGGGATCTGAGAAAAGGGGGGAAAAAAGTGAAACACTGTACGTAAGCAAGCTGTCAGCAGCCTTTCTCAGGTGTGATGTGGGTAAGTAAAATGATGGATTTTGAAAGCTTTACAAAAACACAGGTTCATCCAGTCAAATCCCACTGTTCAGGGAGAATCTTCTCTTTTGAACTATAGCAGATTGCTTTTTAAACCATGGGACTTTCTACCCAGGTGTTGGGAAGGCTGCTTTCTGTTAGGATGGTAATTGACTGGTACATTCCTGTCTGATCCTGCTGTTGCTTCAGGTTGTTTGACAGGCTGCCCTTTCTTTAAAAGTGGTTTCTGTTTGCCCTGAGCTTTAGCCTCAATGCTATTCCCTTGCATGTAGCGTAGCACTTCACTTTCTTTTCTAATACAGTTCAAAAGAAAGTGGACCCTGTGTGCGTCATATGCTTGTGGAATACTTGACTTTCAGATGCAAATGGAAGTTTCCAGACTGTAAAACTAGTTTCAGACAGCCTTCAGGTGTCAGACGTGTAGGTAATTGCTGTTCTATCTAGGAAGCAGCGTGATGATGAAGGTGCATCAGAAGAGATTTGACTAGTGACTTTTGAAGGGAGAGACCAGTCTAGAAAGCACTCCTTGGGTGTCTCACTGCTTGCCTTGTTTCTTAGTACAAGTTCACTTTGTTTTCTGAATTCAGGCAGTTTTATGAGGACCATTATAGGTCAAGACTAAGTTGGATGGGGCTTTGAGCCTCTTGGTCTAGTGGAATATGTCCCTGCCTGTGGCAGGGGGATTGGAACCAGATGATCTTTAAGATCCCTTCCAACCCAAACTGTTCTATGATTCTGTGAATCCCATTTTTCTCTTTATCCTGATGAGTATGATTTTAAAGCTGAATCCATAGGGTAAAATGACTAGAAGACAAATGACTTCTTAAGAGCTGTTAAACCTTTTGAGATGTCTTTTCCTTCCATGTTTTGAAGGGAAAAATCAGACTCTGTGGTCTCTGTGTGAGATCCTTCTCTGCATTGAATTTTCTGGCTGACATACTGCCACTAGATCTGAGAGGAAAGTGTAAATAAAATATACCTCACTGGATACAGAAAGAGGCTTTTGTAGTAGAAATAATGTTACGCCAGCAGGTAGTGCTAACTTTTCCTGCGTTAAATGACTTGATTTTAATAGATAGTGTATGGTCACAAAATTCTTCTTGTTTGTAAATCTGTTTGTTTTGATTCATTTGATGCACAGAAACTGGCTGCTTCTCTGGAGATGTGTGGTCAAGGTTCTGAAGCAGATGACGCTGAGGAAGTATTTCAAGAGTTCTTTAAATGGAAGAGTATTAAAACAGAGAAATTAATTTGTGTCAGAAATGATACAGACACAGCTCTGCGAGTTCTTGCTGACTGGTTCAGCGGCGTCTTAAAGGTAAGGTGAACAGTCAGTCTTCCCTGTTGGTGAAAAACATGAAGTATGACACAAACAGAGCTAGTGAGCAGTAGACATTGATAGGGACACCTATTTGTGGCAGGGAAATTGTGCCATGAAGAGTGGCTGTAAATGACAGTGCCTTAATACAGAGGGAAAGGGAATGTGTTGAGGAATGGAGTATTAATTTGCCTTTATTCTTAGTGTACCTTTGTGATAAGCCGGAGTTTATGCTTGCTTATGAAAGAACATCTTCTGTATCAGGATCAGTACTTCTATGCAAGTATAACTTTTGTAGGGGTGTGCTTTATCTGTTCATTGTGTGACTGAAATGTTTTAACTAGTCCTTTCAAGTGGCCTTTGGATAGAAAAAAATTAAAGTTTTAAAAGGTTAATAAGTTCATAAATGCTGCTGCAAAGCAGCAGCCAATCTGACTTGACATGGTCTGGGAACAGGTTGCAGAAAAATACATAATCTTTTTTTCCTCGTTGAAATGCTGAGTGTGGAGAATTTATGCACATAAATTGTCCACTTCTATTTGCATGTGTTGCAATATTTTCTGGAATACCATTCTGATGCTCTGTGTCTCTCTCAGTCTGAGTTGTAGGAGGCTTAGAGCATGAAAGTTGGAGTGCGTCCTGTTTGTCTTAACAGGAGATGGGTGGTGGAAGTGGGTTACCATCCACTGAGTTCTGATTGTAAAGAAAGTGTGAAATAGCGAGGTAGCTTCATGGCTTTCCTGTCTCTGTGTGTAATATCTATGTTCTTGCTCAGTTTAGGACTCCTAATCTTTCTGGAAAGACTGTAAGCTGCTTTCTCTCTCTCTCTCTCTCTCTCTCTCTCTCTGTTCCTGCAGGCCCAGCTTCCTTGATCTCCTTGTTGTGCTTTGTGTGCAAATGTCATTTGTGTCAGCATAACTTTCCTACCCATGTGAACTGTACATAATCCACCAGGGTTGTGCCCTTTCACAGTGAATGGGTTTTCTGCCCTTGCATTTCATCCCAGAGCATTTACTGTGGTCAGATACTATTATGAATGACACTGTTCCTTGACCTGATGATAACTGCTGTTCAGCATCAGCAGCATCAGTTGGTGCATGTCATGTACAGTATAACATTAACAAATATAATTACTTGCAGATGTTTATAATCATGTCAGTTATTAGAGGGGGCAAACAAACCTGCAGGTGGGTTTCTGTGATTGCTGGGTGCAATTCAGTGCTATTTTGCGTGTATGAAAGTGGCTAAAGCTTGTTAGTGTAGTGATGAACTTCTCATTCAAATTTCAAATCTGAACTCTGCAGACAGTTCAGAGACACAGGAAACATACAGACTTTTGGCATGAGCTGGTAAAGCCCATGTAGGTAGAACAAAGAAGAATTTTTTTAGTCTGCCTTAATCATATCAGCTTTTGATGTGCAATTGTGCTGTTGCAATGTAACTTCTACCTCCTTTTTAACAAAAAGTGTGAGCAATTGTGTAGGGGAAATGTTTCTTTGAAGTGTTTCCTTTCCCCTTATTTTTAAACAGATAACTCCTCTTCCTCTCTTCCTGAATCTACATTAATCTTGCGTAGCATCGATTGGAATCTATAATAGGAAATGGGTCAGTGGCAGACAAGGGCATTTTCAGAGACTGGATGGCTCATTTCCAGTACGTAGCTCCAGGCTTTGGGGAGCAACATCCTGTTTGAACTTGAAGTGTTAACATTTTTATTTGTAGTCCCTTTAAGGTTAAGGCAACAAAAGATTTTTACAGTCTTCAGTGGAATACATGTGCTTGATAGGTAAATGAACGAAGTGGGTTTGGAGTTCTCGGGTTTCTATCATGACTCCTTGTATCTTGCGTGATAACTACAGGACCATATTTTCATTTTAGTTCTGGTTGCCAGTGCAGTATCTTTTCTTGTGCAGATAGGAGTAACAAAACTTTGCTGCAAACAACATTTGGTGTAATTATAAGCTGATCTTACTGTTTTTATTCTGGCACCTTCTGTGTCTTACATTGTGAAGCTTAGGTTATTTCTGACTTCTGTGAAAACACTTACGGTTTTCTGGTGAAATCTTAAACCTTATTTCACACTTAATAAACTGTGAAATAGATGCCAGGATGTGTCTTTATCTCAGTTAGTACTATATAGGAAAGGAAAGCGTACTTGATAGTGAAACTGCCATATTGAGCATCTTGTGTATCACTGTGTGGGCAGTACATATGTTGATTTTTTGACATGAAACTCAGTAAGAGAAGGATTGGAATTCTTCTACTGTTTCGTTTTGGTAAAAATCAAAATGAGGTAAGAAGAATAAAACCTGATCAACGCAAGAATCAACTTTCTTCTTGCCTGGTGAATCTTAACTGTTAGTTGTAGAAATGTTTATATCACTCGTGTGAGGCAGTTAAAGGTGAGATCTGACACAAATCCTGGTTACATTTCCAGTAGCACTAACTCTTTGTATTTCTTGCTTGTTTTTGCTGTATGCTTGCTAATGTCTTACTTCCAAGTGCAAGGCTGATTGGTTTTGGTTTTTTTTTCTTCCTCCCCCGTCCCCCCTCCCCCCCCGAAGTGTTTTGACCTGATGTCAGAAGCATCTTCAGAGCTAGAGGAAGCGGTTGGCAATGCAGATGAAATTCTCAAAAAGGTTGAGTTGGCTATTTGTGAAGAACTGGATGCTGACTTAAATGTAAGTAAGTTCTGATCATGCCTACTGTGTGGTGGCTTCTATGTATTTTGTACATCTTTAATGTCAGTTTAAAGCTTTCCTTAATATATCAGGTAAGTTTATTTGCTACAAGGCAGCATCTCCTTTTGTGGAAATGTGATAGAAATCTCCCAGACTGCTCCCCAGAGAGAACAGAATGTGTTTTCTAAGCAACAGGCAGAGGACATCTTTGGGTTACAGGAACTTAGCTGTATGTATGACTAGTTTAACTGAGAAAGACTGGGAAAACTGGTTCCTCCCTCTGTGTGCAGAGAGGCTTTATTTGAGCTCTACTGAGTTTTGGTGCTTGTTGAAAATACAGGAATGTAAGTTTATGTTTAAGAGATTGCCTCTCTGCGTGAATGTATATGGATAAATTTACTTTTGCCAGTCTTAAGTTTTTCATCACTTTCATTTTGCCCAGAACAGGTGTTCTAGCCTTCCTGATAATGTTGTTCTATGCTTCTGTTAGCCTTTTCCCCAGTTATTTACCTTTTCTGATAAGCATTTCCTCCATTCTTTTTTGCTGACTCTTGGAGGTACTTGCATTGTCTCTGCAATTAAAGTCCCTGCTGTGCCAGAGAATGGTCATATCAACAAAAGCTGAACCTGTCCTTTGATGTAGCATAATATTAACAGCAAACCGGTAGCTTAGTCTGCTTGTGACTGCTCACTGGTAGAATCAATGACTCTCATTCAGAAGAAGGGTTGCATGCTTTAATGCATCATATCTATTTAACCACTAAAAAAAGAAAGAAATGCTTTCATAGCATGTGGCATATGAAATTGGTCTTCTGCATAGAAGTGCCAATCAGTTGTATTCTATTGAAACTTTTGGATGAACTCTTCCACTTGTTAACTTCCCTTTTAGAATCTCTTTAAGAAGAGAGAAAAATCTGATAAATGATATTTTTTTTTTTTTTTTTTTTACCCCCATTAATAATGAATTTCTCAGTAAAGGTTTTGCATCTCAAATGCTGGTGTGTATGAATGAAGAACAACTTTTAATCTTTAATCTCCCTCTGTGTAATTCAATCCCAGGAGCACGATGAAGCAGAGAAGAGAATCATTATGAGTGCTTACAATAAAGTTATATATAAAGTTTGTCAAGAGCAAAGTATGATCTCTGTCATAGAGAACAGGTACTTGGACAGTGTTGAGGTGAGTTTATGCCTTCTTTATATCTGATGTACAGTAGTAACCCTTTCTGACATAACTCCTTTTTGAAAGGTGTCTTGTTTTATAAGGAAATTCTAGGAGCATATTGGTGATGAGGGATTGGTTGGGTTAAAGCTTGATAGTTGCAGTTGTACATTACCTCAGCTGATGATTAATTTCAGTTAAACACAAAGATGCTTTAAAGAAAACAAAGCAGCAGAAGCTGGAATCTCTGGGTTCACTGCAGATTGGTAGTATTTGTTTTTTCAGAAGTCTGTTAATGTAGTTACAATGAAACACAATAAAAACTGTCTTCTGTGGGGAAATACTGTGAAAAGCTGAGTTCAAATGGGCTTTAGGCAGTTTCTTTAATGCATTGGGCTAAAGCGCATTAAAATAGAACACTTGAACACTTTCTGATCTAATTTATTTTTTCCTTTCCTCCTAGTTCAAAAAACAGGCAGAGGAATGGCTGAATAGAAGACCCAATATTAACAACTTACTGTCAATTAAGAAAAATGTGAAAGCTTTTAAGGCCCAGTTAAGGTGGAAGCTGGTTGAAAAGAACAACTTTGAGGAAGTACGAAAATGTTACAGTGTTTGCATCTGTTGTTTTTCAGACTGGTTTAGAAATGTTATTTTTTTCTACTCCAACTAAGTGGTAACTGTATTAAGAACAGTTTGTGTTTTCTGATCCCAGTTTTGCAGTTAACTGTGGAAGTTTTACAGGCCCTGAGATGAAGCCTGAATGGCTTAAAAAGAAACAAAAAGCATTCAGAACATGGCCACTTTTCTCTTTCAGTCCCCAGTCATGGCACTGTGCTTTTAACTAAGTTCCTCTGGTGATAGCTGCTGTCCACAGCACAGTTTTGTTTGGCTTTTTTTACTGTCCTGGTTGAGGATTGCTTTGTTAATAATGTGTGTACCTCCTCTTTGGTGACAGAAGTCAATGTCTGTTCTAGTTTTCAGGGTTCCCCACTACCCCTTAGGGAAGTCCAAAGAATGTAGATTACTCCAGCTTCAGTGCTGTATGTTTGATCGCACCTTAATTATACTGATGATGCTTAAGGAAAAGAAGAACCTTCCTGTGTCTCTCTGTAAGCATTGTAAAGGGGCAGTAAGCTTCCAAGAGGGATTTAGAATGAGACACACTAAGGAAACTGTTGGGAAAAGGATTCTTGAGTAATGAGCTGACATGAGGAAAATGCCTGCTTATGAGAGGAAAAAAGAGTGAATGAATGATGGAACCTGGCATCCCTGGTAGATGAATGGTGTTGCTGTTGTGATTGTATGTGATCAGTTAATTAAAAAAAAAAAAGCTCTTTGACTTAGGAAACAAGGAAGCAAAGGGCTAGAACATTTGGTCTGTCACATAAATAAAGGGAGCACCTTTCTCAGAGATTAGATTTTAAGAGATTCTCTCTGGCTTCCAGGAAGAAGATTGAGTAAATAGGCATTTGAGAATACGTTAACTCCAAAACTGTGATGTGGAAGCTGTTTTTTAATCCCTATATAGTAGGCTACTGTTTTCTGGTGTAATAGCAAAATGAGACTAACTTTGTTATTCCTAATGCAGTCTGGTGATTACAGTGAGTGTGAAATGACAAGAATAAAAGAGGAAATTGCTGATGTGCGAAATAGGGTTCTTCAGGAAATAGCCAAGGAACAAGAAGAATATGTAAGTAGTAGACTACTTAGGCAACTCAAACCTGTATGAGACACACTTGCATTTCGGTTAGTTTAATGTGTGCTCTGGCTAAAATAAAAAATGTGATTTTCATAGTGTTGAATGTTAAGATGGCCCTTTTTTTTGGTGAAACCTATGGTAGAAAGCATGGAGGCTGATCAGTTTTATCTCTATTTGAATATAGTTTCTTCAGGCCTTCTCTCCATAAGGGGATGAGCTGAGGAAAAAAATGTGAGCAGTAAGTAGTTCCCAACCCAGAAGAGAAGCAGATGAAAGTGTAAGCTCAGTTGCTGAAGAAAGGAACTGTTTCCTTATGACTAGGTTGAAACAGTGCAGGAGACACACTTTCTCTAAGTCCTGTATGTGGAGAGAAGAATCATAAACATTGCCTTGTGAGCAAGTAGAAGGGTGTCATAATTTGTGGTGGCAATATACTTACCTCTGCAGATACAACACTTGTGTGTAATAGTTACCTTGCAGCATTACAGCTGCATGGGATCTGGAAATACATGAGATGCTGGCCTGGTCTGGGTTACTACTTTATTTCTGTCTTCCTCTGCTTACCTGTAGTGAAGTTGTTTTCCTTTGTTTAGGCCTGCTAGAAGCTCTTGTAGAAAAGATTACATGTTTTCTGTGATAGTGCATGAGCTTTTGGGGCCTTAACAATACCCATCCTCAGACATCTAAAAAATCTGATACCTTGGTGGTGTTGAAGGAGGTATAGTTATTGTCAGTGTACATGTGAATGTGCTGGGTATATGTTGCAGGTGTCAGTGTATATTTATATATGTCAGAAACAAGTGACCTGAAGCTGTGGCCTTGTTTCCTTCGTTTAGGAGAAGCTTACATGTTTGGTACAGAAATGGTTCCCTGAGTTACCACTTCTTTATCCAGAAGCAGGAATTCTAAACTATATGGTAAGCAAAAATTGAATGCACTCTCAGTTACTGTCTTGGGCACTATCAAGGCCCTGCATAGTCTCTGTCCATTTGGGGGACAAACATCCTGAGCATTGTCTGTTGTAGTCTTCCTCTTTCTCCCCTTTTGGGAGATGTTCAAGGAATGTATTTCATTAGCTGCCTCATCATGGCCAGCCTCTTGGTAACAGATCCTGTAACTTTTTAACATGTTCCAGCTCTTTTGTTTTGTTAATTTGATTGAGAAAGAGGAGAGGTAGATGAAGCCTCTGAATTTTACCAGCTATTACCCTGGATATTTATGTGTGCATTTGCTTCAGAACTCCAGCGGACTCCTGACATGCAGCCTGGAGCGAGATCTTTTGGATGCTGAGCCCATGAAGGCGCTGAGCACAAAGCGACCATTAGTGTGTTCAGAAATCTGGGGCCAGAAGGTTCTTTTAAAGGTAATGTTGCCACTGGCTTTCAATTGGTGCTGTAGGTGAGGCCTTGGCTTATTAACATGCTGATTGTGAATAACCTCTGCTGTTCCTTTCATGTACCTTTTGTGGGTACAGAATTTCTAAGCACTAACAAGAAAATACAGGAATAGCCTATGACAGTCAGAATTGAGTTTTGTGTCAAGTAAAAGAGGAAGTTATTTGATGGCACCTAACAATATGCATTTCTTTAATTAAAATGGAATAAATGAATGCAATAATGTCACAGGCATTAAGAGTAACAGTTTGGTATCTTTTCTGGTTTTAAGGGCTACTCCGTAGATGTAAGCTCAGAAGCCAAAGTCATAGAAAATGTTGCCAAGTATCACAGAGCTTGGAATCAACAGAAAGAGAGATCTGGATTATTACAACTGTTGTTCCTTCTTTTCTGCAAGGCAAGATTCAAATCGGTGATCTTGATTTTCTGATTTAAGCTGGAAGACTTGCAGTTGGACCTTAAAGCTTTAATATATTTTAAGGTGGAGCATGGAATCAGAAAAAATATTTCTTTTCTGAGTATAGATAAACTGTTTACTTAGTAAACATAATATGCATATTAAACTTCCCAATATACTTGATATTTGAAGCAATTTATTTTTCCTTTTCTTTTTTGTTGTTAAAGTCTGATCCTTTAGTATATTTAATGGTCCCATACTACCCAGGAGCAAGTCTGGGAGCTTTACAGGCTGATACACCTTTAACTTTAGAAGTAAGTAAACTACTTAAACTCAACAGTTTATTTTACATGTTTTTGAACTGAACTCTTCTTGTGCTGTATCTTATGATGCTGATGGTGTTTTACCAGGGTCCATACTTTGGTGGCTGAAGGTTGCAGAGGATAGCTTGACTGGCATTCTTAGCATCTGGTCAGGCAGTAGTTTATAACTTTCTCAAAGAGATTCTGCTTGGATATACTTTTTTCTTTTATTTAAATGAATGCCTTAGCTGTGTTACTAGTATGTTTTAAAAGTACCAGAATTGAACAGGCTCCCTACAGCACCAAGGAGCATCTGGACGACACTCTTAGTGTTAGGTGGTCCTGTGAGGAGCAGGAAGTTGGGCTTGATGATACTTATGGGTCCCTTCCAACTTGAGATAATCTGTGATTCTATGTTCAGGGGCAGGCATTTCTGTATGGAAGTTTTAGACGACTCGTGTGTGTGTGTTTGTAAATCATCCCCCTCTTTCATTCCCCTTTCTTCCCTTTACCTCCTCCCCACACAGTCTATAGGTAGTCTGGATAGTCATCCCTTCTCAAAGAAGCAGTAGAGTCTTTTCTCTAGTTCTCTTTGCTGACTTGAAGTTTCTGTTTGCTGACTTGGACCTACTTGCAAAGATCCAAGTTGCATGTATTTTTGGTGGTGTCATGTCTGCAGCCTTCCTGGCTCTGCAAGTCATGATAGTCTTAATGGGAATTAATCCATACTTCATAAAATGGAATTGGAATGAACTCTGAATGTGTACAAACCTTTTAAAAAAATTAATTCTGGATAAAAACTTATTACTGTATTTAATTTTTCTATCTGTCTTTGCAATAAACACTCAAATGATAAGGAGTCATTAAAAGTGATGAAAGGAGTGGCCAAAGGTCTACACACATTGCATGGAGCTAATATAGTACATGGATCTCTGAATGGAAATAATGTTTTTGCTGTGGATCGAAAACAAGGAATCGTTGGAGACTTTGATTTCACAAAATCAGAGGTAAAAAAAAATCATTTAGTGACTTTTAGTCAGAATTACATATCCAAACAGACAACTGTGTCTGCAGTTTAAAAGATCCCCTGATAAACATTGTGCTTAGCAGTGAGACTCCTGTTTCATACTTTTAGTAAGGTTGAAGTCTTGTTGAAATCTTTTGTAAACACAGTCTAATCTTGGAGGGGAAGAAAGAATTACTGAGTGGGCTCTGGTTAACAGTGGAACAAAAAAGAGAAGTTGCAGTAGTTGTTTGTTGATGTCTTGTATATTTAATGATAATTGGTATCATCAGAGGTGAGAGTAAGCTTGTGTTTGGAGAGGGGCTAGTCAAGCTCAGATGAAGTGTTTGCCTTTCTGTTTGATGGGTAGTGGGGTTCTAGTATGTGTTTTAATCTGTTGTGGTATTTGGTAATTAACAGGATTTTATATGTTGCCTACATATACCTGTATTTATATACAAGTACTTGTGATTTAGTCCTCAGTTTCTGTAGTAAAGAATTTCATAGCTGTTCTTGGAGAATATGTAATATTCTTTAAGAACACAACCTGTTTTCCAACTATTCATCGTGTTTACATAGCAAAGTCTCTAAGAATGGTATCTGTTCTGTAGTCACCTTTTGACTTTCTAAACTGAAGTTGTTTGAGCTAAAACATTTTTATGCCAGGGGTCTGCTTCATGCTTATTTAATTCTTTAAATGGTAATATAATAATATGTCAATAAGCATAATATAGAAGTTTCATTGAGAACCCTTATCTGTGCTTTGGAGATGTATTATCTGTTAATTTCATGAAGTGTCAACTGTTTGGACAGCAGGGTGTGCTTCCCTTGAAATAAATTTCAGTTTTCAAAGTGCTAAAGAGAGGTGCTTAAGAAGTATTTGACAGCTGAGTTTTCTGCAAGGTTGTACTCAGTACAGATGGTGTCATTGTGAATATCACAGGAGCTGAGGAAGACTATCCTTCTCTTTACCCCACTCTACAGGTGTGGGCTGTGCTGAAAAGAGCAGCTCATGTGTGATAGAGCACTGATCGATGGTTCACAGCCCGGATCCAGTTTGTGCCTTCTCTTATAGGGATGCCAGTACTGCTCAGTGCTTGTACTTCCTGCATGATCACAAATGCAGGAGTGGAGCTGGTAACTGATGTGTTTCTGAGTACTTTTGGCAATCTGGAGACTAGTCTTCTCCAGGCTAGCTGCAGCTGGTGCTGGCTGCTGTCAGAGAGTCTAGTCACTCAGTGTCTAGCTTTTTATGTTAACAGTAGATAGTTCTGAAATATGCTGGAAACCAGAAGGGAGGAAGCAGCTAGTTTCAGGTAAAGACCAGAAGGGCAGAGAAGAAAAAATAGGAAGGCTGGCAGAACTGAACTTCAGAACTGAATGCTTTTTAAGATTCATGGGTGGTTTGGTTTTTTCTTTTTTTCCCCCTAATTCAAGAAGTTTTCTAATCTGTGTTTTTTACCACCTTATGAGCTTTAATAGTTCTAGTATGGAGTAAAATCTGCCATCCCTATTCTTCTGTTACAGATATAGATATGTGACATTATCTTTACAGACCACTTTATCAGTAAAGAAGGACTTTACAGTTCAGTCTGAGTCAGCACAGACCTGTGGTAAAGTTGGCTGACAAATGAAAAGGGAGAGAGAAATACATCCGCTTCAGTGTGCGGTCAGTCTTGCTTGAAATCACAGCTACAATTTTTTTTCCCCGTAGGAACAGCGTGCTGCTGCAAACACTATGGTTGTCAGTACCTTGAGCTTAATTTCTCCTGAACTGAAAATGGGACAACCAGCTTCTCCAGCCTCTGACATGTATGCTTATGGCTGCCTTCTGTTCTGGGTATGTGATAGCTTGTGGGGAGTTTCTAGTAATATTATGGAACTGTACAGGCTTATGAAGAACAATAAATGTTGTCTCCAACTCCGGCTTTGAACTATTTTGGCAAAATAAGTGTTCATGTTTTCAACTGAGTAGTAAGTCTGGAACAACTGGGAATTACGATTATGGGCAGAAGACTGCATTTTCTGTAAATATAAATGTAATTTGTATAGTAATATAAATGTGAACAAAAATTATGCTTCTGTTCCTTATGCTGTGGATTGTCAGTGCTTATTGCACTTCCTGTTCATTCCTTGTGAGCCTTTTTTTCTTCTTTTTTTGTGACCTTGCCCCTGAGGAATTACCTAAATCAAAATAGAGGGAAGACGAAGGTAAGGGTGGGACTACCATATGTTTTGTTGCTGGCTGCAGTGCTTAGATAGCTGTTTTGTTTCTTAGTGCATGTTATGCCAGGGTGGAGAAAGCAATCTACTTTCCTGTGTTAGCTGGTATGTTGTATAATATCTCCTCCATATCTTTTTTGTCTTCTGGCACTGTATTGCTGCCTCCCCAACTCAGGGTGTCAGTACCATGTGTTGTGAATAGGAAAGCTTCCAATATCCCAGACTTGAAAAGCCATAAGTTGCCCAGCAGGTGCTGATGTTCCCAGGCAGTGATTTTTGCATGAGCACTTGGTATATTGGAACTGGTTCACTGAGTGAGTACCAGTTGGAGCTCCAGGTTCATGGGGGTCTTCCTGGGAAATGTTGGCAGTTCCATCAGCTCCACAGTGATGGCTTCAGTAATCACTTCTGTGCTCTAGCATCTTAAAAGCACTTCCTGACAGAGATGTAAACTGCAAGTTGGTAGCCACTGCCAGGTACCTGTGCTGACAAGACGAAGCTGGTTCGTGTAAAAGTCGCTCTTCATTAGGTTTTATTCCTGATTTAGGAAGCAGTTGCTTATAATTAAATATTTTTTGAAATGAAATGGATAAACTAAAGCGTAGCTTAGTATCATAGATGTTTATAATTTATTAATGTGGTAAGGTTTAGTTAGACAATTTCAGAACTATTCGGATTTTCATCTGCTCTAAAAAAAAGTTTTTTACAAGTAGAAGTGTGTAAAAAAGAAATGAAGTTTTACAAATGGCTGGTTCCTTTTGAAGAGAATATTTGGGATGCCGCACCATTGTCATTATTCTGAAACCTCATCCCAAGTTTGCCAGCTGAATTTCAGATTAATCCACATGTAACTAATCTTCAGCTCAGACTTGTCATTGATGTCATTTGATGGAAGATTCTAGCTCAGGTGTTAGTATTATGTTCAACAGTTGCCAGTGTCATGTTGTGCATCTGAAATTGTATTCTCTCTCATTATACAGCAGTGCTGCTTCTAAAATGGAGATGGTGGTTTTCAGAATTCTCTGCTGATCTGTGTCACAAGAGCCCAGCACTGACTAAACACATGCTTCCTTTTGCTGTCTATGTAATTGTTCAGAATAGAGGAATTTTCAGCTTAACCTGCAGGCAGGGTTTTGAAAAGTGCTGTGCTCTGGCATGGTTCTTAGCAATAGTAAGCACTGGGGAAATCTTGCTTTGTTGATGGGTACAGGGTTCACATTTGTCTGTTAGAGTGCACTTACCCCGTAGCATTTCTTAAAGAGGATTATATAATTCATCCAGCTTGAGCATGGAATTTGAGTCATGTTTTTAAAAGTCTATTTCTTTTGACCTCTAAAAGTTTCTTCTGAAACTGTTTTCCCCTTGTTTCTGTGTAAGGTGAACTTGATCTCCTTGTATGTTTTACTCTACTGTTAAATTAAGACAAAAGCCTTTTCCTGCCATTTTCCTGTAACAATCCATTGTCACTTGAAACCTGGAATCTCCTCGAGTGATGTTTGGTTTTGTTAAACTAACTGGGGAAAAAACCCCACCAGAGTTATGCCTTATGTATCTTTTCATTTACAGCTCTGCGTTCAAAACCAGGAGTTTGGGATAAAAGAAGATGGAACACCTGAGTTGGAAGTGGTTTTCATGGTATGTTAGTTGTCAGATGAGGAAGATTAGACTGCTCTTGTTCAGAGGTGGTTAATAGTTTTTAAAAAGTCAAACATTTAATTTTAAGTGCTGGGTTGAGAAAATACTCTTAATGGACTGTCTGGATAATTCAAAATAGCATGCACAAATAAAATGATGTTTGGGAAGATAGAAAACCCCAAAGATTTCTTAATACTGACCTCTGACCTCATGAGGAACAGCTTCTTTGCAGATAACTATTAAATGAATGACACCAAGTTACAGGCTTCGGGAATAAGTGATTATGATTCAGCCTCAAAGGAGGTATTTCAATTAGGAACCTATCTTTTCTGAAGTCGGGGAAGTTGTCTTTGTTCACCTGTCTTTGACATAGTGGTTGCACAATGCTTGAGCATTAATAAACCAGCCACATTTCACTTTGATCACATAAATGCAGTTGTAAAAGTGTATCGATTCTTCTTCAGTTTGGTTTTGGTTTTGTGGTGTTGGGGTTTTTTTGTTTGTTAAACTTCCCTGTGCTTCTGAAACAAATGCACAGGTCTAAGTGGACTCTGCATGATAGGAATTTGTGTTGCTTCGTTCATTCTTTCTATTCTCAAATGCTCTCCATCTGTTGTATGCCAGCTACTGTTGTCACCTTCAACTCTGTTTTCAGTCCCTTTTTTGAAGGTTATCCTTGCCCACTGTCTCAGTGAGTCTTTGAGAATAATGAGGAGAGCTTGTGTGTCTTCATGTTTCCCAGCTTGGGTCTCCAACTTTCAAGTTGGTTCTTCACTTACCTATCTCTTGGATGTTAAGCAAATAATTTCATGGCCTTCTCTCTGCGTGTCTTAGTTACCTGAGCACTCGTTTTTCCTTGGGTTTATTTTCTTGTGTAACTCTCCCATAAGCTTTCAGCCTTCTGGCCAGGAGTTAAAACCTTTTTTCTTGCCTGCTTTCAACCTCTTCTGCCTTTGCTACAGACAATTCCTTTTCCTCCTTACAAAAGTTGGAATAACAAAAGACATGCCACCATGTCTAGTTTAAAGACATACACTGGGAGGTTTATGGACCTTTTTGAAATCATTAGCTTTTGTAGACTAGTTTCCACTTCATACTTTTTACTGTACTTCTGCTGTCTAGTTACTGACTGCTTTGTTCTTGTCCTCTATCTCTCCCATCTCCCTTGAGAGGATTGCCCTTGGTTTTGGTTTTTTTTTTTTTTTTTTAAAATCTGTATGGACTACTTCTCATATGCTTATTCTGTTGATCTTACTTTAAATGAGAGCTGACTGCTTTATCTAGATCTGAGAAGGCCATGAAACTCCTTAAATTAAGCCTTACACTCTTACTAAATAACCTGCAAGCAGGTGGCTGTTTAGCTTTTAAGTGAAACCTTAGGTTATGGTTAGAATTTTCTAAGGAACACAGAGAAGTTTTAGAGGTTAATCCCATATTTTCCAGAAAAGTAGAAAAATGCTTTAAATGGAAAAGTAGAAAACAAAGCAGTGGAATTGCTGTTGGTCACATAAGTTCAGGTTGTTGTGTCAAGGGAAAAAGAAACCCAAATAATAAATCCCTCTTTATTGGTTATGCTTGTGTAATAATGATTTGCCTGGTTTGCAGAGGTAACTGTTGAAGCATGGGGCTAAATTACTTAAGCTGTATTCATTATGAGCATAATGTGTCCTGCTTAACTGTATTTAGTTTAAGAAAGTGTCATGATACAGTACAGACTAACACAGCTGTAGGGGTTCCAGTGTCCCGACAGGGTAGCTTGTGTATTACTGCATAACACAGTACTGTAAATATGTTGTTTTATTAGATGACTATTATCCTCTACAGTATGTCTTGTAATAACTTCTTTTCAGCAGTGTTCTCCAGAGATGAAAGCATTACTGATAAAGCACAGGACTGTCTACTAAATCCCTCTGCAAAATCATTTCCAGTGTGACACTACCATGGAAAATAAAATAATAAAACACGCAGCATTTGAGCAGGGAGGTGATCCTCTGAATAGTGTTTCTTGTTGCTCATTATATAGTTGCTTGGTTTCTTAATTAAGTACTTCATGATTCACCACTAGGGCTGACTAGGGGATTTTAAATACATTTCACAAAACTTGTGTAGAACTGTCTGTCCAGTGCATCATTCAGGATAATGCACAGTAATCCTTAGATACTGAAACCTCTCACTTTCTCTCAAGCATAAGGAAAACTTAATTGTTCAAGGAAGTAGAAAAGATTTCTTGGGACATTAAAACTAGGAGTCGGCTCACTCCTTTTTCCATAAAATTTCTGCTATGATAATGTTCTACAAATAAGGTCTGAAGTATGCAAATGAAAGCTTAAATGGCCAGTTTCAGGGTATTATACTTCTGTGTTCTCCTTTAGTAGGTATCTTCTGAAGTTTAAAGAGCTGCTTTATCTCAAGGACAATTAATGAATTTAGCCATTATTGTTCTTTGCAGAGATTAATTAAGTTTACAGCTTTTAATAAGAGCAAGTTTCTTTGACTTTTTTTCCCCTGATGAAAAGAAGCAGTGTTTAATTTTGCCCTTGTCAGGTGATACAATCATAATCAGTATATCATTGTTGGCAGTTAAGGATTCATCCTGGTGTGTGTGCTCGCACGTATACCAGCTACCAAAGTTTGCTGAAAGCAGTCTGTGCTGCCTGCTGTGCACAGGAACATACACGAGAGTTTTACTAAGAAATGTAATACTAGTAAATATCTTTCAGCTGTTTCTTGAGAAATCTTCTAGACCCCAGGCTGTTAATCCTTGTCCCAGTTCTTGGGGAAAATCTGTTTTGCTTTTAAGTGCTTTATCTATAATCAGCTTATTCAGAATTAATCTCCGTGCCCATCTGCAGGCTCTTGACAGGCTGGTAATTTCCCTTCCATATCAGCCTCCTGCCCAGAGGAATAGCACAATTGCAACTAGTAAAATTTCTGTCGTTTCCAGCAAGTGTAAAATTGCCATAGGAAAATAACAGTAAGCTTTGAAACGGGTATTAATGTAAGGTAACTGTTGAGGAAAGCAGAGTCTAGAGATAAGATCTCGTAGCCACTTGTTTAGCTGTGCCAAGCTTCAGTGTTCAGTGCATTTCAGCATCCAGTTTTGTGTATTTAGGGGAGAAAAAAAAAGTAAATAAGAGCAACACAGTGAAATGGAGTAAGCATGATGAAATGTTGTCCTATGGCAGTGTTCCTTGTAGAATCATGTTTCAAGTTTCCCTTGTGAGAGAAAATGGTGTGAAGGGGATATTGGTTGTTGACAGGCATTTGATAGTATCATGAAATGCAAATGTACAAGTACAAAGTTTTTCAAGCTTTTCAAATGCCCAGACTTTTCTTCAGTTTAAATTTTGTAGAGGAAGGGTGTAGTCTTGGTTCGCTCCTCAGTTTCATCGCGCATGTTTGGATCTTCTTTGCTAGAGGTTTTTCTTCAAGCGTTTAAAGTATTTTATAAGTATTTAACAATCCTTTATGCCTGTAAGATCAACAGTTTTCAAATCTTACCTTTTCACCCAGACTTCACATTATTTGGGAAGTGGCTAATTCTCCAAAGTCACTCTGATAATTAAAGGAAGAGTTGGAAACAGTCAGTGTGTTTCTTTCAAGTTTTTGACTACTTGTGTACATTCCTTTGCATAACAATGATTCCTCCATCTGGGTGAAACAGGGATAGGTGAGGTGTACAGGCATCTTGTGCTTTATTGACCCTGGTCAGAGGTGTTACTGGCTTGGAGACTGTGTACAAGCAAGCCTTTTTATGGAAAGATTCTGTTCCCATGAGTTTTGGTAATCAAGATCTCTAGAGCAGCCTTGGGGATTGTCTTTCTTGCAGTCCCCTTGTCCAAATCCAGAGTGTGCTCTTCCTCCCTCAACAGCTGATGTTTATACGTATGGGTAGCAGCTGTGTTATGTTTTATGTATGGAGTCTGGCACTGTTAATGTGCTAAGCATATAGGTACATAATCCCTTCTGATAAATCCAAAGAGCCTGTATGTAAGTGATGGGTTAATAGCAGGACAGCTACTGTTGACTTATAGCCCATTACTTTAGTTTATTTTACGTTAGTTTACTTTTTTTTGTGTGGTCTTGAAGAGAGAGAAAGCAATATGGCAGAAGTTAAAAAATGAAGTTGTAGAAGGGGAACAGTACCTGTTTTGTTCCTTCTCAGTTACAAGACAAACTTCAGTATTTTTCTGATTTATATTGGTTCAGTCCATTGGTATTTTAAAATGTAGTAACTCATGCTCTTCTGTTAAATCTCTTGCCACCAGGTTGACAGACCTGGTGCTGAACACTGGCTTTTATTATGTTGTTAATGAGCACTATGACTGTCAAGTGTTGCTGACCACTTGGAATGCTATGGTACAACCTTTTGTAAGGGCTTTTGGTCCTAAGAACTTAGAAGATGTGTTCATCAAATACTTGGTTGTTATTTGTAATTAAGTTTGTTTTGCTTACTGATTGAATCCTTCTCTCTCTCTTGCTTGTAGGATGATAAAGTTAAATCTCTGCTCCTGAATTTGCTCTGCTGTAACAGACTGACAGCTGAGCAGGTGCTGAGGGATGATTGCTTCCTTGTAGTTGATGAGATTGCAGTTTCACCACAAGCAGGTGAAGAGCATGAGCCACATGAAGAGCATGATTCTGAGAAGACAAATAAAAAAAAGAAGTGATTAACTGAGGAGAGTGGAGCAAACCCTACTGAATAGATGAGGAACTTTGCCATCAGGTGCTTGATTGAGACTTCTGGTTTTGTTTGGTTTTGAAATCATTGTCCTCATCTGAAAATATAAAATGCTTGGTAGATGCAGTCATGTTTTGTGATTATACAATCTTCACTGCGTTTTCTTTTGTTCTAAATAAGTGTTCAGGGGTGTAAGTATGGTGTTACCGATTCGTATTCTTAGTACTCAGCCTTTTTCTTTGTTAGGCTAGGCTTTAAATTTACAGAGAATAGTCGCATTAGATGCCAGAGATCTTGAAGATGAAGCTTTAGTAGTCTTCCTGCTGTGATTCCAGATAACATGTTTATCCTAAAGGTGCTCTAGGGAATTATCTGTTTGCTGGAAGTTTTTTATTATTGCATGGATAAGTTGTTCCTACAGCAACTGCCTTCAGTATTTAAGGAGAAAAAGAAAGTACTGCTCTGACAACTGGTAGAGGAAATGATGAGCAGCCTGCTTCTTTTCTGTCTTTCTGCATTTGTAAAATGCAGTTGGCTTTCTACAGAGCAGGCATCATCGTAGTTGTTCCTTTGCAATGCTGCTGCCACCCAAAATGCTATACACATACCTTCGCAAAAACTACTGCTTATTTGCTCTACGTAAGTGTGTGTGTATATTATATGGACTTAAATGTTGTTTGCAATAGCTGTAAAGGTGTGATTTTTCATGAGCAGGTTTGTTTGCCTGCAACACTTTGCTGTTAATGTTACCATTGAAAGAGTTTTGTCATCTCTTTATTTTACAGGAAATTGTTTTTCTTTGTGAAGGTTTTCATTTCTTCTCAGAAACGAACAGGTCAAAATGTTCAGAGTTGCTGTAGCAGTCTGTTTAGCCTCTGGGTGTTGCTCTTGGACAGCACTGTTTGCATACTAGTATTTTGTAGAGGAGTGTTTGAAGCTGCATGTTGTCAGGTGAAGACTGCAGAAATGCAGTATGTAATGAGCAAGAAGCAGCACCAGGGGAATTGAGGAGCCCTCAGCTACAATAATACAGTCCAGAGTGGATAGAAGATACCACCTTGGCAGGTCCACCTCTGATAGTAGACTTGGTTTTCTACCCTTAAATCAGTTAGGTTTTTTATATGGAACAGCATTTAGGATGTGTCATCCTTTTTTCATTGAATGATAATGATTTTTTTTAATTTCTGTAATAACCAATGCTAGCATAACCTTTGTTAAAAGTATTTTTTAATGTGGAATTTTTGGTTAGTGCGATAAATGTTTTCATTACAGAAATCACAGAAGAAAAGCAGCTTGGGTTTGTCAATGAAAAGAAACAGTTTAGCAATTTTGAGATGTTTTCTAAATAAATTAAAAGACTAGCTTTGGTTTTAATGAATGTTAAACACTGAATACAGGTTAGAAGACTAACCTGACGGTTTGTGTCCTGTTGTGTCATATATATTAGAATAAATTTTTGCCCAGTTTTCCTGCAACTGAAAGTGTACTTCTTAAATCCCCAAATTGGTAACATTCTTGGTTTTCTGAAACCAGAAGTCTGTGTATGCTTGACTTAAAAACTGGCAGTCTCTTCAAAATCTCTTCAACCTTAAGGAACACAATTTTACATGTGGAACCCAGCAATGAAACTTCTGAAAACTTTTGGTACCTGTGAGTGTCAGGGTACAAGACAGCCTTTCCATTGGAATTAAATATTGATTACAGTCTTAGTGTAACCAGTTCTGTTTGTACTTCAATTTTTTCTATGGTAGTTTTGTAGTTCTGGTTTTGGTTTTGTTGCCTACTTGCCAGAGGCCTTAAGAAAATAGGTTGGTTCTGGGTCATGTTGCACAGCTATCCTGCCAAAGCTGAAGTCTAAGTCCTCTATGCGTAGCTTCAGCTTCTCTTTCTGACCAGCTTCTTGAGAGCTTTTCTTCTGTTCCAAGTCCTCACTCTGGTTATAAGGGTTCTCTGTTACTCTCAAGGGCAGTCTGTGGTGGTATTACTGGAATCTGAAAATCTGTGAAATGGAAGTTCTTAATACGGTTGCCTTATGTACCCTGTGGTGGGTTAAGCTGCTGCCTGCTTTCTCACCTTGCTCTGCCAAGGCAGGAGTAGAGCACACACAGGAGCAAAACTTTAAGGAGACTGTAAGAGTTATGTACCCAGTAGATAGTCTTTTCAGTGTGCTGAGGTTCAGTGGAAGGATTTTAAGTGGTAATTAGCACACTTCAAATTTTTATGCTGTTTACATCAACTGTGATTGGTAAATTGCAAGCTGTGCAAGTCCTACAAGCTGAAACACTGAACAAACATGCAAAAAGCCTTGTGCCGTGTAAGTCACATACAGTGTAAATGTGTAGAGCCACCACAACTCAGAGGGTTTCTTTGTGTACATGCATCTCACATTCATTTTACAGGTTTGACTGTCTACCTCAGGAGAAAACCCAGGAGAATAACGTGGAGAATTCCTTTGGAGCAAATTGAAGATGCTTTGGTCATTATAGAATCATTGAATGGTTTGGGTTGGAAGGGACCTTAGAGATCATCTAGTTCTAACCCCTCTGCCATGGACAGGGACAACTTCCACCAAATCTAAGTCCCATCCAGCCTGGCCTTGAGCACTGCCAGGGATGGGGCAGACACAACTTCTCTGGGCAACCTGTGCCAGTGCCTCATCACCCTCATAGTAAAGATTTTTCTCCTTATGGTCCAGCTGCTGTGATGGAAGCTGGGTGAATACTCCAAAGTAAAAGTCTGTTGACCTCAGTATCAGGAGGTGCAGGTGGAGGCTGCTGGAATTGGAAGTGGTTTTATTTGAAAAACCTTCCTCCCCCATCTAGGACTTTGTTTAAAGTTCAAGTCGGCTGTTGGGAAATGCAGATCTGTTCCACAACAACTTTTCTTCCTTGTCCTAATTTAAGGTAACCATAGAAATGATGATTCCACAAAAGCAATGACAACCTCTTTTGAAGGCTGTTTTTAGCCAGTGTTCATGTTGCAGGTGAGCAGTTGTCAGAAGCTCATCAATCTGCTTGTAATTTTTATCCTCTGTTCTTGCCAACAGGAGGTGGAGCTGTTGTTCGTTTGTTCTTCCTGCTGTCACCTTTCCTCTGTAAAGTCGTTTTTATTTTCCTGTTTTAATTTTTTTAACCTAGTTGGAACCTTTTGTTTGTCTGGTTTGAACTTCACTGGCTCAGAGATTGGCTACTGTGGCTACCTGTTTTCTCTGCACGTTTGTGTCAGGTTGTTTTTTGGTGAAATGAGCAATTCTTGTATGTTGAGTTTTGTAGTGTCTGGGTACGCTTCCAAGTTATCATAGAATGATTTGGGTTGGAAAGGACCTTTAAAAGTTATCTAGTCCAGCCCTCCTGCAACGAGCTCCTGGGTGACCTGTTGAAGTGTTTCACCACACTCATTATAAAAAACGTCGTCTTTATATCTAGTCTGTATTTTGCTGCTTAATGCCTTATATTATCTCCGCAAACATCAGTATTGTAGAATGGCTTGGTGTTGATGTTCTCTTGGAGACTTACTTCATGGTGCCATTTGCAATAATGTGACTGCTAATGTGCATGAGCTGTGAGGCTGATCATTTGGGTATGCTGTAGTGATTTGTCACAGAGCAGCCTTTTTTCCTTCAGCTTAATAATAGACTTCCAGCCGCGTCTGGATGTGTGCCGCATCTTGTCCCACTATTTTATTAGGGAAGCAGCTAATCTTTAAAGATAGGATCAAAACCCCTGCTCTTATTTATAGTTGTCTTCTCCCACTGCTGGAGACAGAAATGGTGTGGGGAAATTGGAGAGATAACTGGGTACCAGTGACTTAGTTTTTGAACACCACTTCTTCCTTTCTGGCTATTTCTGTTTCAGTGAAAGTCTCTAAAAAAAAAAATAAAATATATATATATTTTGATAGGAAGCTTAAGAAACGTGCACTGAAACTTGTTCTAAGCAATATATCTTAAGAACACTTGATGGTATCTATACGTACCACCTATACACTATTTCAAAGCATAGGTAGCAGTATTATTTCCTATTGGTCCTAACTCCACAAGAAGTTACTACTTTAGTCCATTGCAAGAACACAGTGTTAGAAAACAACCTGTTAGTGCTGTTAGATGGGCCAAAATGTTGAACTTGGTTTACTGAAAATTTAAACATTTTCTAGTCTGAGCATACTGATAGACCAGCATTTTGTGCTAATATCTTAATATTAGGCCTCATGGCATTTATAAAGTTAATCTTTTGACATTTTTATTTGCTTTTTGGCTCAACATCACGATTCTTTTTTTATCTTTTAGAAGTTCCATTTATGACTGTCATTTAATTGATGGTAACTACAAATCACACTAGCTGCAAAGCAATAAATAAAAGAAATGCAAGTAGCGTAATTTGGAACGTGGTAATCTTAGTAGCTTGAGTCATGAATTTCATCATCCTCTGCAGTTAGTATCATTTTATGATTCATAAGTCTTATTAGTTTCTTTTTTTAGTGTGTCATCAGATAAATAGCTCAATATAAGGTGGCAGAATTGTCCTGTATTACCCCAGTCATAGGAGAGAATGATTTTTGATTTGTTCCCACATACATGTAGTGAATCTGTCCCTCTGACCTCTTTAATCTGCGAAACCACTTCCCATTTTCAGTGGAGTACTTGCCGGTTAAACCATTCAGATTATCAAACGACCACTACCTCATCCTAAAATTTGTACTTTGTTCACATTGTTCTGCAATGCATTTGCTGAAGGCGACCTACACCATAGATCAGTGCATAGACACTTTCAGTGTGCTCTTAGGCTAACTTAAGCAGGAATCAGTCAGCATTTGCTTAATGTTACGTCAGTGCTACTAAAGGAGTACTGTCAGGCCCTTGAATGCTTGATGTCCCTAGTTTGAGAGGTGTAATATATTTATTACTGTCTGTGGATTCACTTTCAGTTTGAAATCCTCAAGAGGTGTGATTTGGTTTGGAATGTCCCCTCTTTTTAGGTGCTGTGCCAGCAACAGTACCTGCCGCCTACTAACTTCATTTT